GTTGGGACTCACTCTATCTGAAAAACAAACTTAAATTAATTGCAATGTACCCCTTTTTTTTTCTCTCAATTTTTGTCCGAGCTCTTATCTATATTATTTATTTTTAAACACATCAACAAGAAAAATGAGGCTAACAAACAAAATTTATTAGACATATTCTTCATAAAAATTTTTTTTAAAAGCAAGTAATCTCAATTAAGAAGAAAAAAAAGATTATATCTTTAATTAAAAAAACTTTTAAAAAATTATATTTTTATTTGTACAAAATTTCAAGTTATTGACAATTCCTCATAGGGAAACCAAAGAAACCCCTTATCTTAATTACTAGTAAAATACCAAAATGGATAAGAGAGAGAGTGTGTGGTTGGCACTCTCTTGATTTAAAAAATCCATCTCGTGATGAAAAAGACGTTGATGATGACGTTGATAATATCATATCATAGCATTAAATTCTAGAAGATTTCATTATTATTAACGTACCAATTTGGCTTGTTAAGAGTCAAGAAGGACATAACAACAAAAAGTGACAAAAGGGGGGTGGGGGAGAGGAGAAAATCAATCCACCTGGTCTGTCCTGGATATGGTTTTGGAAAAAATGCAAAAACAGCCTTAATTAGCCGCCTCATGGTTTCATCCCAGAAAAACCAAAATGAAAAACAAGTCAAATTTGAAGGCATGAATTAAGTTTTGACCTTTGAAATGGGGAAGACACCACAACAGGGTAAGAATCCGTTATGGAATGTGTCAAAACCAGTGAAAAAATGAACAAAAATCTCAACTCTATCCATATTATGCAACGAAAAGGAGTGGGAAATTTCTGTACGTAGTGTCACGCGTTTTGAAAGGAAAAATTGCATGTGGTTGCGGCGTCTGTGTTCATACGTCGAGAAATTAATTGCTCTTTTCATATTTCTTAAATTCATGATTGGAAGAATTATTAATTTTTGAATATAGGGACGGGGGTCTCTTTGGTTTCGTATTTTCAATATAACATAATTTGAACAGTAGAATTTGAGACTAAAATTTCAAACAACCCACTAACAATAAAGCCATTAGTCATCTAATTAACTACTTAAAGGTTGTTTATACTCCATAAATGCTAACACGGTGAAATTTTTTAAATTAATTATTCCTTAATCTCCGGTTTGTATTTGTTCGCATCTAATTTAAAAAGCCAATTCGCTATAAACTTTTACAATATATATATATACATATATTCTTAACTTTAGTTTAAATGTTAGATTTAAACCTTCCTCTCTTCTGAATTTATATTTGTTAAAAAAAAAGTTAAATATCAAATTTGATCCTTCAACTTTAAAATTTTACATAATTTTTGTTTCTCAATTTTTTTGTGTATTTTTTTTGTCCCTCAACTGTATGAAAAATGTACTAAAAGTCCTTTCGTCAACTAATCTGTTAAATTTATTTAAATATATACATTTTTAGTTCTTTAATTTTAATATGTACATTTTAGTCTCTTAACTTAAAATTGAGGGATAAAAAAATGCATGTATTAGAAATTGAAAGATTTAAAAAATATATATGTAGACAAATAAATTGATGAAAGGTAAAAAAAAAATGTATTTTTCATAATTAAAAGATTAAAAAAATATATAAAAAAATTAATAATAAAATATTAAAATTGAGGGACTATAATTAGAATTTAATAAAAAAAAATGCATATTTGTACTTGTTCTGCGTAGAAAAGAAATGTATGGAGGGTCAAATTTTGGACAAAAAAATTAATAATGCCTTTGATTAAGTGTTGTCAGATGGATAAGGACAATTAGGTTAACCTAATGGAATAATTTTATTGGAGTACTCTTTTCTACTGTTAATCCCTAGGCAAGTTGAAATCTGACTTCATTTTTATTTTTTAAAAGTCTGACTTTGATGTAGAAGTTCGTTATGGAATTTTGTTTAATAATCAAAAATTAAAAATCGATTGAATTTGAACTAAGCCTTTGCGCTAATAATTCAATTTCAAGTCTTAATATTTAGATTTAATTAAATAAGAATTTGACTCTTATCAATGAATTAAAAAATTTTCTATTTCTCATAATTTCTTATGTTAAAAAAAATCTATTAAATTTATTATTAGATGTTAGTATATATCAATTTTAATTTTTAAAAAT